GATGGGTTCGTCAGTATGTGTGATGGGGACATATTACTGACTAAAAAGCCGCACACTAGTGCCAATAAATGTTACCAGGCGTTCAGTCCGTCGGGTATAACTGCCTCAAACTACGGAGTTTCAAATTCACTTCTCAACGTGGGTTGCATTTTCTTAGAAGCGATGGAATGGGTATAAGGTTCTATTAGTCATTCGTGTGGCCGGTGACTTCCAGAAGTGCTTTTTCGGTATAACACTACCCGTAAGTAGATGCCAAAGCACGCGCGGCGCGGATGGTCGCTAACTGGATGTTTGCCGCTGTTTCGGTTTGAGGAATACATTTTCTGCAGGAATATCTCGTTACTGATAAATTTAGCAGTAGTGTAAATAATGCTTCGATTATGATTGTCTCGTCCAGCGTCTCACCGCTGTCACATCCTCTCAAATTGCCTTTAAAAGTTGATACCGTGGACTTTATCGTACTCTATTGTTACTCATTCTCTCCGATAACAACATGGTAATCCTGTGGGAGAAGTGAACGTTCTCGCGTTTCGTTTCGAGTGGAGAGGTTCTGATTAAATCATGACTGACGGGTACACTCTGGGATTAACACGTTTGTGACTTCCTTCAACCGAATGTGCTGCACCAGGCCGCTTTGTGTTTCAGTTGGTTGGCTATCTTGAATATCGTACCAGTCAGAACATGAATCGGCCTGGTGCAGTAGAATAAACAAATCAGATTAGTCCTGCTTGATAACCAAATCGGTATGAGTACGTGCGCATTTGTCGAATTTCGTGCAATTCGGAATTCGGGGACTGAGCTCCAAGAGGGGCGAAACCTGGCCTTGGGCTGTCCAGGAGTTTTACTCAATATCACGAGTAGTGTGTTGCATCTACCACTTCAAGAATTCAATCAGAACACTTTCGGGAAGTGCCCGTCTTCAGCCAGTTCCGTTTCCACATGTTTCATCTGCTTTGCCAACAGACCAGTGCCACTATTCGTTTTTTGTTGAAAATACTGGTCTTTTGGCAGTCTACCTTCCCCTGCACTGCTTGAAAGCCATTCCTTTTCATCAGCCGATGGTTTGGTACTTTTTCAAACTGTTCCTCGCAGGCATTTGAATGCTATTCAAACATTGGCTCCTCACTTGCTCCGCTACCTGACTGTGTGCGTCATCACCAGTACGGATAAAAAGAAGAAGAGTCTGATTCGCGATCTGGTCTATTTGATTCAACAAGAAAGCTACTCTTATCGGGATCCGGTGACGGAATTCTTGGAATGTCTTTTTGTGAAGTTCGATTTCGATGGAACTCAACAGAAGTTGCGTACTTGTGAGACAGTGAGTTCTTCGCTAGGTGTTTTTCTGTTTTTCTCATCGTCATCCTCGTTCTCATCATCATCGTCCACAGCACAACGTCAATACTCAAACAATGATTGATACTTTGGCTCCGTACGATCATAAATTATTTGGAAGGCTTATTTAGAGGAAAAATAAAAGCGAACGCGGAACTTACTCGGCTCTAGCCTACCACAACCTTTCTGAGGTAATCACTCAGACCCTGAATAGAAATTGTCACCAAGACATTGACTTGGATTCGAAGCCATATCTTGCAACGGCTTCACCTATGCGCGGTGGGGATCACGCTCACCCTGGAAGGCGGGTTGCTCCCGCAGCACCCTCTGATGAGGCCAACTTAAAGTTCCAAATTTAGAGGTAGCTGAAAACTAAATGTGACACTGACGTGACTATTTCTCACTGCGCTATCCATCACCAGTGCGCTGTCATCAATGTTGAACACTGATGCTTTA